CAAGCCTAAACAGACACATGGAACAAATTCAACCAACAATCAAAAAGAAATAGAGAAATAGGCATCTTTAAGTAACATGAGGTAAAAGTAGACATTTCAAGAGTGAGTGGGATGACAGGACACCAGGCAAAGAAAAGCTCTGACAATGACATACTTACTTTCAGTCTGACAACATGAGATAGCATACTGACTTGTCAAACAATCAGGAGAAAGCAGTTCAATAAGCTGAGAAAATAGCTGTTCAATAGGATTTGGGATGGACCTTTATGGGAAAAGACTGTTATGTTTATCAATGCCAAAGGAAAGCATGCTATAATATTTGAAACAGAGTAAAGTCAAGACAAGCTTGTAAGCTCAAGCTTAACAGTCAGCAGAACACATCAGAGAATTAGGACCTCTCCTCCTATTCCAAAAGAACATAGATTTGCAAGTTTTCACTATTTGGGCAAGATACAACCATGTGTCTGTAGATGATCAGTAAAAATCAAATGCAGACAAAATAAGTAGGCCTCTGTGAAAAAAAATACACAACACTGAGTCAGAGAACGGCATTCTGAAGCCAAAATAATGATGGAGGGACAGATGCTAAACAGTATGGGAATATAAAAATGTAGAAGATGTCCCAAGATGAAAACAAAGTTTTGAAAGATGGGTAATAAAGGAGTTGAGACTAGGCCAAGAGAAATCAGAAGATAAAGTGTCACTAGATGAAATACCCAACCTCGAAAAAAGGAAGGTATCAGAAAAATACCTTCTTTTGCCAGTGCAGAGCTGAATGAAGGAAAGCCCACAAGGCAAGAACAAAATCCACACTACTATGTTCTGGCAATGTTATTCTAGAAAAATCATCAGTATTGAGGAAGCACAGCAAAAGAGTTGGAGCAAGATCTGCATGTTTCAAGAAATTACGTGTTGATGGTGGCAGTGTTGGTTGCAAAATACACTGGGTTAATTTCAATGAAAATTTAGAATTGCTTAGATGCGAAGATAACAGATCTGAAGGAGAGAATAAGGTCAGCACAGAAACTAAGTTCTGTGATGGACAGGAAGGTCAGTTGTACTAATGGAGAACAGGAAGTAGTTTCAGGGCTGATAAACTCAGCAATGAGCACTGATAAACTGGAAACCAGCTGACAACTGAGTCAGAGCAGAAAGGAGGAAGCTGCTGGAAATTACTCAGAGAGAGGTGGGAGTATTTAGAAATCTAAGAGAACATAATGTTTGAAGTATTATATATGCCTTTGATAAGCAGAAGCAATTAACAAGAGACATTGATTTAATAAAAATAGGTTTTGAATAGGTTTTGATCAAGAACTATGAATCAAATTTTATCCTAACTAATGCTAGAGAATTTGAGATATTATCAACTAAGGAAGACCTAGAAATCTTAAGTCAAGCACGAAGGGTTTAGATAGGTGGTAGCTAATAAAAACAGTAAGGTATTTGTAAAATAATCAGATTAAATACTAGCATAAGAGGGGAAAAAATTAGGAAATGCTATCTGGATTTGTGCTGCTAGAAGACTTAAGCAAAGAATGGAAAAAAGGCAAAAGACATCTGTAATTTATAACATTTGAATGTACCAAAGAAGACAGGGAAAAGGGAAAGGAAATTATGCAAAGGTTATGAACATCTGAATGCTGACAGGCAGAAAAGGAGCAATATAAATGGCATGTACTGTCAGTACAAAAAAAAACTATTAAAAAAAAGAAAAAAGACATGAAGTAAAGAGCAACTACAGTCATGAGAAAAGCAGGGGTTCTAAGTGAGAGAAGAACACAATAAAATGGATACAGTGGCAAAAAAAGTGCATATAAACATTTTCCTGCCACTCCTAATGAAGGTGATTAAGTTACACACATTACCATTACTACAAACAGTTAAAAATCCCTTTCACAAATACACAACAAAAATATTCTGAGATATCAATATAAACTAACTTCCGCATTTTCCTTTCTAGAAGGTTCAAAAATCTGAGGTACAGGCTGTTAGAAGAGTCTTTAATCAAATTTATTGGTAAAACATATTTTGTCAAGGTTATAATCATTCTATATACTCCTGTGTTTTGCAGTATCAACATCACAGAAACAGCCTAATAGCAGAAATTAATAGAAATAACTGAAACTACTGCCAATTTAGAAATTAACTAAAATCCTACCACACTGGTCTGGTAGGTCTGGCTAATCCTTACTATCAATTTTTCAGTGTCTGCTACATGATATGTGATCACTTCACGAAGTCAGAAATGAAAAATCCAGTTACCATGGAATCAGTTTGACCTTGTGCAAGTAAGGAAGCTTGCTTTGCATAAGAGTTTTGAATATTTCAGTATAAGTGATTTGAGCCCTCTGCTTGCTTATGCTGTCCTTCTAGCTGATGTCTAAAAGATGCCTATAATTAACAGGCTCAGCATCTATACTAATAAGTTATGTCAGACATACAAAGAAGTATTTTACACTTTTACATAAAATTCAATCTCCAGTCTGGCAGTGAAGCTAACCCTACCCTCCCACACCCCTACTTGCCATACTACTAGGCATTTGTGCTAGGACAAATGAGGAAAAATAACCTACGTACACTTGGGTAAGGAACTTGCCTTCCTCTTCAAGAGAGGGGCACTGAAGACTGACAGAGCTACCCCGCTCAGATGGTATGTTTGTTCCCACCTGAAAGCAGACCTCTTCTGACAGCTACAGATTAACAACTGTCAGTTTGCTGGTTGGTATGCCTCTGCTAGAGCTTTTGTGATGGAGACTTTAAAAAAAAAATAAATCAGCTTTTTGTATGGATTAATTTTCACTCAAATCTATCATAACAATTATTTATGCTCCCAAAGGCTACCTTGAAGTGTTCTAAGTTTTCAGAGCTACTGCCAAGAGCTGCTGGATCCCTGATAATACAAATATGCCCACTACTATTCTATTCTGATAATTTACAAATGTATGGGCAACCATCAAGGACATCATTTTCCCAGGTCTGCCACATGGTAGGGCTTCTATATGTATGCAGAGGAAAGAGATGCAGGTGCTGTTCATATGCAAGATCAGTGCAAGCACACAATTAGAGTTACACTGTTTCTATTCCCTTCCAACCCATGCACTCCTGGTGGAAGCTGCAAAGGACACTAATAATATCGCACAACTTCAAAAACAACAAAGGTATGGCCTTAAGTGCTTCAAAACAATGATATTTATAAAACGTATCAGAAAGCACTCTAATAATTTTTTTCTTCAAAGTAACAAAGAAGTCTTCCCCTGCCATGGGGCAAGCTTGATTAGTTCAATATGCCATAAAACATGAGCTGAACCACTACTATTTATGAGACTTTAAAAGTACCATTATCAGAGATTTTCACCCTAAGAGGAGGGCAGGGACCAGTACAGCCCTCCCCATTCACAGTAAACACTGAGATGTTTCCACCCCATCTGCAGATGCTTGTTCCTAGAACATACCACAGCACAGAAGGAACTTAAGTCATTCCAGGTGATTTATGTGAGCTCTCTGAACACATCTACCCAACTCATGGCCTGAAGGATGCTACAAGTCCAAAATAACACTGATATGATCCTCTACCCAGCTATTCAAGTATCAAGCACTAGTTACAAATAAGGAATATGGGTTAAAATACTGGCAGAATGCATATATAGCTAAGAAAAAAAAAATTATGTAGAAATAACACATTGCAAAGCTGGAAAATAACTTTTCTCCCCTTCTCATCCCTTCTCCTCCCAGGAAGGTGAGAATGAACTCCATGACTGAGCACTCCTGACTTCTGCAGTCTTAGTTACATCCACAGTACAAAGAAAGCATACTGCAGATACTTAGAGTGGAGCCACGACTACTACCTAACTACTTTTAGCTCTGCATTCAGGTAAGTCAGATCACCAAAATTCATATTAACCTAAGGCAAACTTTCATTTCTTCCACTACCTTCAGTATGTTTTATGGCAAAAAAACTCATAGGAACTAGGTAATTATGAATCTATTTAAACTATTTTTGAGGCTGGTTTTCACCTAAAGAGGATCCTTTAGGTTAGAGAAATATCTCCAGATTCAAACTTGAAGAAGCTTTAATACTGTAATCATAACTTCTAAAAAAAAAAAAAATCTAAGGAGATTTACTAGAAGCAGATTGTATCGATAGTGTTCCACCCTGTGCACATCAGTATGAAGAGTTGCTTCATTTTCAGGTTTAATGGGAAGACAGTACGATTTCCCTGTAGCCTGGAACTTCTTAGATAATTATTACAGTTAATATCACAGAAGACTAATAGAAAAGCTATGTATTCCTAATGTGCGGTGGTTACTATAGAGGCAGCACAAAAGTATGGGAGCACCATTCTGAATCACCTTCCAACATTTTTGTTCACTGTGCTTTACAGAAAGTTCTCTCCAAAGATTAAACTCAATTTTAGAATTAATTTCCTTCATCAGTATTCACGATTTTTATTTGCTTTTACTGAAAATGTATGTGGTAAAACAGAACTGGTTTCTAGGACTTTTAGCTTCATCTAAAGAAGATTAAAGACATTATGTGAGCGACCAATATCATCCAAGGTCTTAGAAAAATTAAAAAAATTAACAACCCCTGAAAGCTATGCTTTCTTATAATTAATTTTAAGAGAAAGAGGCAAGGATTTGAAAAAATACGTTCTCTAAGAGTTTTTCACCACTGGACTCCCTTCTCAAGTACAATCTCCCGCACTTGAGTAAAAACTATTACTTATATGTCAGTATGAAAAGAACCCTAGAGAATAGCAAGACAAGGCTAATAACAGGTAGGAACAGAACTGCAAAAAGCTAAGAGTTGTAGAGTAACCACCTAGTATTTCTGACTACTATACATAATTTCTCTTTGCTGGAAATCAGAAGCTTATATAAAGAGTGAATGTGCACACTTAAAATAAAAATTAAGAATTCTGTCAGCTATTAATAAAGACACTGAAAAAAAATTTCCAAAATTTACAGAGGACAGAAAATGCATAGGCAATCCCACTCACCTGTCTTCACTAAAACGTCGACCAACCAAAATTTTACATTTGTCTGGAGGGAGACAAGCTGCTAGCAAAGGTACCGTTCTTAACACTCGACTTTCCTGTAAAAAAGAAAAGTTGCTTTTGAATAATATCAAGGAGGGCTTCTATGAATCGTTAATGCTTCTATTTACTTTCAAGTTCTTTTGACTATAGACACAGAAAAAAAAATCTTATCAGACAACAGAAAATAAAGACCTACAAGAAAAGATATCCAATTCTGATGCATTCAAATGGTATTGTTTTGATTGACAGTATTAAACTTAGTCTTAACTAACCTATGATCATCAGCATAAATTTGAACTAGGCTAGCAGTATCAAAAACAATGATGAAACTTCACAGAATCATAGAATCACAGAATGGTTAGGGTTGGAAGGGACCTCAAAGATCATCTAGTTCCAACCCCCCTGCTGCGGGCAGGGATAATAAATAATAAATCGGAGGCAAAAAACAGCATTAGCATTAGTGTAATAGGTTGAGAAGCTAATGTCTCTAAATTGGAAGATGAGGGGAGGACTTGATTTCCACAAACAGGTGCTAAAAATAAAAACACTGGGTGTATTATAACTGACAGTGTGAAATACAAACATCTCCACTCTGCTGTCACTTCACGGTAACCAGGGCAACGGCACCAACACTGCCACAAGTACTCAGTCTCACGCCATTCAGGATGCATCGACCAGGCATCTGCCTACATCTTTGTGGCACGGATGAGGAAGGTGACTGCCATGCCAGGGTGGGGAGCAGGGGCTCTTCAGGTCTCAAAGAGCATTAAAGAGAGTTGACTTGGAGCAGGGCTTCAGAAAGTGGAGGAAGAAGGAAGTACTGCAGCTGAAGCAAAGCATCCACTTACCAAACACAGCAATTTGTTTCTGTCCTTTATTTAACACAGCTGGGAACACACTAGTTTTTGTCTAGACAAGAAGTATTGCAAACTGAGCTTGAATATTTAGGGTGTCAATTTTTGTTTTCCCATCAAGGAAGAGGGAGCATAGGTTTATCTTGCATTTAATGAAGACAGCAAGCCAACACCAAAAACTGAATGGAAATTTCAGTTTATTTATTTATCACAAGAGGAAGAAAGGAAGGTTATTAGCTGAATCTAGCAGGAGGCAAGACACTAGAGGTCAGGCGAGGATTACGAAAGCCCTAAACCCAGTAAGAAATGAGTTCTTACACTATTCTCAGCCTGAGTGTCTCATGATTCCAACAATGAAAATCCAAAGATCAGTCCCTAAACCACAGGATTAATTAATGAAAACCCAGGGAGGGTTTGGTCCGTCTTTTGATTTATGAGCGGTGTATCAACAGTTCAGTATTTGTGAACACGTGGGCCTTGATTAGCTCTCTCACTTCTCTCTGGGCGGCTGTTACCTTCCACAACTATCAATGTGCAGCTGCCTGCAGCTTTCACATTGTCTTGCTATCAAACTGCTATTAAATTAGTTCTGTGAAGACTTTTATCACTGCTGCCTAAAATCTTTATTAATTTTGCTTTTTCTGATCCCTATCTACTGATCCTCTATAAATAAAACATCATGGAGTTGAAGGAATAAGCTGTCCTGCTACATCCACCACCACTTTGCACAGCAGCAGCAGCATGACGTCTCCTAGGGATAGATGAAGATCAAAGTATCTGGAGAGTGAAGTGCTAGCAAGGGGAGGGAGAAATATCCTTCAAACTACCATTGATTTCTTCTATCTCAGCAAAGTGGAATAAGCCATCAATGGTGGTACGGTAGTATTTGTTTTTGTTTCATCATAATTAAATAACACTCCAATTCACTAGTCAGAAGACTCCCTTCTTCATAAGAATGTAAGAAGTGGCAATAAAGGAACTGGAAGAAAATCAATTATTTGTCTCTGATAAGCAAAACCAAATAGCTATCATCAGTCAAGGGAAAGTCATTCAACTGTTCCCTCCAATGTCATATCATTACTTCTGAATTACCTTTCATATCAAATAAATACATTCTCTTACTACAGGGAAAATGGAACTTTCCAATCTAAAAACCAATCCATGTTTACAGGAAGATAACACATAAAATTCAAAGCTGAAAGGAATCGTTTGAGAACAGAAGCTTAAGAACAGCTCAGTCAAACTAACATTAAGAAAAGGCTTCATTTGTTTATAATTTTCTTCATTAAAACCATTTGTATTAACTAGACTATATATAAACCTATGTGTTATCATATTGGCTACTTTACATTTACTGGTTTGACAGTGAGCAGTTACTCTCTCCTTTGTTCTCAGTGTTCTAACAGTGATTTGCAACTTACTGATTATTCATTATTTGACCATTGAAGTACATAAACAGAAAAAGGATTGGAAGACTTATGTGGTGGGTTGACCTTGGTTGCCTCCAAGTACCCATGAAGCCACTCTATCACTCCCCCTCTTCAACAGGGGGAAGAAAATCAGATGAAAATGATCTCGTGGGTTGAGATAAAGGCAGTTTAATAAAGAAAAGCAAAGGCCATGTGTGGAAGCAAAAGTAAAACAACAAAATTTTATTCTCTACTTCACATCAGCAGGTGATGTCCAGCCACTTCCTGTGAAGCAGGGCCTCAGCACATGTAGCGGTTGCTCCAGAAGACAAGCACCTTAATAACAAATGCCACTCCCCAGGTTTTATTGTGTCATATGGCATGAAATATCCCTTCCGTCAGCTTCAGTCAGCTGTTCTGGCTATGCACCCTCCCAATCTCTTGACCACCCCCAGGCTATTAGCCTTTGGAGGGGGGGTTTGGAGCCCTGCTCGGCAGTAGCCTGAACACTGGTGTGTTATTAAGATTGTTCTAGCTACCAATACACAGCACAGCACTAGGAGGGCTGCTATGGGGAAAATTAACTCAATCCCAGAGAGACCCAAAGAAAGGAGGTGTGATTTCAGAAGATAAAATAATTCAGAAGAACTGAAAAAAAGATACAATATCTCAGGTGAACTGGTATTTAAATCATCAAGTTTAAAAGAAAAAAAACCATTAGATAATGTTAACAGCATACCAGTTTCTTCTTGCCTACCATTTGCAGCATTAAGATTCTAGCTGAACTCCAACAATTACCACAGCCTTACTCACCTCTGCTGGATGCTGAATTATATACAAGCAGGTGGAGACCTTTAGCGGATGTATTGGCAGGAACGGACATAAACACACCTTCTGAGGACGGCTGCATGACAGAAGGGAATGAGAGAACAACAAAAGTAATAAGCAGTTTATGAAAGATGGAATAAATATGTTGAACAAACACATACCACATCCCAAGAGGCATGTTAAGAACTTCCCCTTATGATACAGTGTATTAAACCTGATGTAATTTTCTCTTTGAAACTCCTCTGTTTCTAAAAATAAAGAACCACAAGGTTTTCATGAAATACAGTTTTGAGAGCACTGTTCAGACCCCTCCTGTGGTCTGGTTAGGATTAAAGCACTCTGAAAATCCTTTCATCATCTTCAGGAGGAGCAACTTACTGGTATCTGTACCCCAGAGAAGTCTGTTACTGCTTTTCATGCCAACTTAGTGTTTTAACAACAAAATTTAACAAAATTATTTTAAATTCTTTGGTGTTGCACGTAGCTGTGTAGCTGCACAGCAGAATGAACTGTATCTAAAGACATGAACTTAAATATTGCTTGGCATGAAACTAATATGCTGAATGATGAAGAATAAACACAAGCAAAGAATTAAGCTCAAAGTTATCCGTAGAGTAACTGAAGTTGTTATACCAAAACCACACATACACACATGCATGTGCACACACGAAGGTCACTATAGCTACTCACCTATATTATTCAGTAACTCAGAAAAATTATGGATTTCGTTAACGTGAAGCTATTACCAATTTTCACCACTTAAAATCACACCATCCCTGCAAATAAAACTCTCTGAGCTTAAAAAATATTAAGTCAGGATTTTCAGCAGAATGCTAGCTAGGGACTCGGAGCACAACTTCACCTGCGTCCTCCTTGCAATCTTTCTTGGTAGTGGTTTGTATGTTGGTCACACATCAGAGACAGTAAGCAATCACTGCAGTAGACACGATTTACAGAAGTAAACTCTGAAGACAGGTCCAGATCAAGTTTGTGGTGAGTCCGACTGACACTGCACTTGTTTGTCCACAAGAGCAGGCATCCAGCTCAGTGTACAAAGTAATGTTACAGTAATCCAAGCCAGTATAACTGTTCCCTAGCCAAACATTCTTACCAGTAAATGGCGACATTATAAAAAGGCGGTGACAATAGATAAGCTCCTCTTTAACAGCTGACAGGTTGTGTTAATTTAAACCCCCTACTTCTAGCCCCAGCTACTGAGACACAGAGATTATTCCTTTCTCCATAGGGTATACAGTTAAAGGTTTCCCAACAACAGTCTAAATCCAAAGCTGTGGGGGGAGTGTTGATGCAAGGGAAAGAATTGGTACTGATCAAAATAAGCATTGGAAAAAGTATTTTAAAATATTTAGACTACAAGGCCCATGGTCAAGAAATCAGCCTAATGACAAAATGAAAATTATTCTCATACGCTTTTCTGGTATACTGTTCCAGTGGTCCGCTGTCCGTCTTTCCTTCGCACTTCTAGTGTTGACATTTTCCTGTTGCTAATCCTGCATAAATTTGGCACATTCTGTTGTATTAATGGTCAAGCTTTGAGCCTAAAATTAAGTACTTATTAATTTCACTATTCCGGGGACCTTCACTGTAAATGAACTGCAACCAACCTCCCTTTCAGTTTTGGTGGGTCTAATTTCAGAAGTTCTCCAATGCTTTATTTTTTCCAATATTTTCTCACGTGTAACCAATTTAAACAGAAATTTCTGAAAACAGTTTTGTTAACAACCTGGAAGCAGCAAATACCCCCGGAGGCTGTTTGTTGCCTGTGCCTCGATTGTTAAGCAGAAGTTCATCCTCTTTTTGATCATCAAATTCAGTGGAAACTCAATTTTGTACTAAGTGCGATTTCTTAGTTTCCTCCAGTTATTAAATGGCTGGTTTCACTAAAAAAAGAAGTTGTTAAAGTTGTCCCCATTACGGTATTTTCTGCTGAGGAGAGATTAAGGCACGAAAAATCTACTACACAAAGCTGTTCCAAAACAGTTAGCTAGTGACTTCAATCCAAAGAGCTGCATTGTTCACTAGCTTTTATACGCAGACGGAAACAGTTTCTAGTGATTTCTGACCTCAGGGTGTTTAACTATTACAAAGTTGGCTATATATAACTTACTTATTTTCAAGTCTGCCTTTTGCGTATGCTTTTTGTATTTTCCACACTGGCTTGGATTTTTCACAGGAAGTTTTTTAAGCTTTGTTAACCTCACCAAAAGAAGAAAAAAAAAAAAAAAGGGAAATTAACCAGAAAGCAAGCATTTTCAAACACTTACAGAATAAACTCTACCTATAATTTGATTTGTACGGAGCAGAGCACAAACCATGACAAATAAAATGCTTTCCAATATAATTTAACTACTTACATATGTATATACATTACTTAACTTTAAGCACCCAATTAGGTACCTAATTATGTTGAATACGTACTTTTACAACCTCATCCTGGGGGCACAAGACTTATTTCCATCCTTTCACTTTGGTACCTAATCGTTATTGTGCCGAGACAAAAAAACAAAACAAAACAAAACAAAACAAAAAACAACCAACATTATTTCTATGTGAAACTAACATTACCAGCCTACATCAGTCAGCTAGCAAGCACTGCAGAACAAGAGTAGTTCTGTTACACCACCACAAAAGCTGCCTTTGCTCTGACAAAGGCCACCTAGGCAGAAAAGCTTTTTTGTCTTTTTTTTTTCTGTTTAAAGATTCTGTTACGGTCTTGCCCTACATACACAGCTGATGTTACAGAAGACTAGGGGCAGCATGAGGGAACTCATTTAATGATGAACATCAGTTTTCTCCCATTTCTGGAAATGAAAGTAGCGATCTGCTTCAGGCAGGAATGGTAGTATTCAGGTTCATGGGTGGGGGCTAGGATTTAAAGGATAATTTTTACAGTATTATTCACCTGCATGCCATTTCACTACAGCTCAGAGCTATCCAGTGGGTTTTTACCTGTTTTTCAACACAGCATTTCTAGTTTAAAAACTTATAACAAAGTAACCTGTCACATTGGTGGGACTAAAAAAAAAGAAAAAATAACATTCTGTGTTTTGCAGACGTGCTCCATATGTAAAAGACAGCCATGCACATCCACAGACTTCTCATAGCTTTCCTTCTGTTATTCACATCTAAATTAATGACGTTCAGATTCAGAATAACCTTTACCCTATTTTCCCAGCAGAACTGAATCTGGACTGTGGACTGTTCTGTTCTGCAGTGTCAAGTTTAGTGTGATTACTAGTTTCTGGGCAGAGATGCTCTAAAAGCAAACATGCAGCAGTCTGGAAAATAGTGAGCTAATTCTGAAACTTTCCAAGTCTTTGTATGATTTTCCTACAAATATAAATGGCCTTAGTCACTTCAGGACTAACTTTTATCTTGTTACAACGTGTCCAAAAGGCTTCTGAAACCAGGCACCATTCTGGGAATGAAATGAGTGTGCTCTTACAGCCATATTCAGAAAACTAAAGGTAGGTAATTCAAGGATTTAAACCCAGAGTAAGCAAAGAATACAATTTTATGCTCAGTATTTGTAGAGGTTTCTAGGGAAAGCTATGAAGAGGTTAAGCGTGCCAAACACATGTTCTAGAAACAATGCTTGCAATATTAAAATAAAGAGGAAGCTGATGTTTTAAAACTACTATCACTTGTGGCAACATTTTCATGTTCCAACACATATTGCCAAGGTCAAGCCCCTGATTCTGTGTTTTCAAAGAAACATGCCTGCCCCAACAGAAACTGCTGCTTCAAGTAAATTAGATTTCTCTACTGTTTAGGTCAAAACACCAAGGGTTTCAAGGTCAAAACCCACCTGAGAAGTCTGGAGAAAAGCCACAAAGTTACCATATGTTTGTTTTATACTAATGTTTTAATATATGTTTTATACTAACACAAGTCCATTATAGGCATGCATTAAAACAACATTCAGGAATTTTACAGAGCTGTGTTGGAAGTTTAAAGGCATAAGTCCATACATTTTATAAAATTTGAGAACAAATGTTATTTTTGCTAGTTTTTGTTAGAGGACAAATACAAATTTAAAATGGTTTTAAGATTACATTTTGCATCCTCCATCTTAACCACTACAGCTATAGAAGGACCTTAAAAGAATGAGTGGATTAAGTTAAACATAGATAAACATAAAATGATGTACTTAGGAAGAAACAATCCTAACCCAACATACAGAAAAACCCCAAGGTCTGAGGTTAATATGGCACAACATTCAAGAGTAAGACCTTATGATAAACAGTTCTGTGGAAATGGCAGTTTAATGCCTGGCAGTTCTCAAAAATGCAGATCAGATGTTAATTGTTACTAGGAAAGGATGAAAGAATTAAAGAGGGAACATTATCATGACACTACATAAACCTCTGGTTTAGCCCCATCTTTCACTCCCAGTGCAAAAAAAGGCTGGAGAAGCCAGGTCAGAAACAAACATGAAGAGTAACTCCTCATGCCAAGGGCCACAGATCTCCTTGCTGACCAATGCTGTGGATACAAGAACTTAGATGGCTTCAAAAATTTGTGAAATAAAAATCCATCAGATATGGAAGCACCACCACTGAAGGTACAAAGTCACATCCCACTCAGAGTCCCCTGAGCTAAAGGCAGTTAGAGAAAGGACAGAAGTACCAGCATATGCTTACGCTTTAAGCTCAGTACTACATCTGTTCATGGCTGGTGACAGCATGCTGTGCAAATGGATCTTTGATGTGCTCTGGTATGGCTGTTCTTCTACTCTCAGTCAGTCTGCACAATTTAATATGAATGTATACAATGCCAATTGCAATTGCTTAAGATTACCTAACTGTATTTTTTATTTTTTTGTTTTTGAGCTCTAAAATTTGTCTGTATGTACTTCTGCATTTCTCTGGGCAAAATCTTACAGCTCCTTTGGGGTATTCTTCTGTAATTGACAGGACTTACTGCCATCTTAAAAAGAATTTGCTGATTATATTATATTTCTGCTTTCCCTCACCCTATGGCTGCACAGTATGTGACCTGATGCAATTGCCACAACTTTCATGGAAGGTAAGAAGCCATTCCTATTAAAGAAAAACCTCTCCCTCTTGCACTAAACAGAAATGAAATAATGGATTACCTCATCTTCCACATGGCCGAGACCCATCTGGCAAGACCGGGGCTAGTGCAGGCAGGAGGAAGATTTGGTATTCCCTGAAGCTCTGCTGATAATAAGCCTAGATCCTGCATGGTCACCAGCTGAACAGTGCATTAAAGACAGGCCTAAAGTTCACTCTAGCTAATTCTACACAGTAGACTTGAGATTTCTGAAAACTTGCCCATCTTCTAATCCTAATAAATATAAGTCAGATTTAAACTAGAAACTCCATAGCTGATGTCCCAAATATACTAGCTCTGCTGCTCTGCTTTGTTAACTGAAGCTCACACGTGCTTTTAAACTACTGAGGAAGAGGGAAACTGTGAACTATAATACTAAACTAATAAATGAATTACTTGGAGTTCTCCCTTTTAAAATTAAACAGGATGAGCCAATTCAATCATTACCACTGCTTCAATTACTATGAGCTGCCCTTATTTTCTCAGTAGCAGGTAGTTTGTAGGTAATGTGGCTTGGTGATTTTAAGGCCCTACAAGATGGCTGTGTAATGTTGCCATGTAAATATTTCTCACAGTTGCAGTGCTATAGTCCTCCAGTCTCATACTCAGTTACCCTGGAGCACAGAAATAATAAAATATCATCTCTGCCATACTTCAGATGTAATTGTAAAATTCAAGGTCATCATATTTTGTTGTTTTATCTCTCCTACTTGCATTACTGTACTTTTTAAGATGTCTACTACTATCCTCACAACCATTCAAAATAACTAGCCTACAGAAGACTTACTCCCACAGACAAGATCAAGGAAAAAAAAATTTATCAAAAGTAAAATGCAATAAAAGCTCATCCTTTTTTAGCCTCCGTTTCCTAATTGCACATCCACCAGCTCTTCAATTTCTCTTTGAAGTAAGTTTTGGAAAGCCACCTTTCTGAGAAGTGCTAACTGCTCTCATGAAACGCAGAGAAACTCAAGGAGCCATCGGCATGGTTTAGGTTTCTTCTAGGCTTATTTTGAATATTCTTTAGTTAAGCAAAATTTCGAAGCCTTAGTTTAATGGTGTTTCCTGAGAAAAAAAATCAGGCATAGAAGATTATTCTGACTCCATCATGTTCCAGCTTCCATCCTTTCCTCTTTCTGTTTCAAAAGACTTTGGAACTCATTGGTCACGAGGCATGAAGATTTAAAATTAAATTCTTACAAACTTCATTAAAAGTCAACAGCCACATAAGGTAAAAACATAGTATCAGAAACACAGGTAGGGAGAGTATCCAGAACAATCAACAAAGCACTTCCTTTTCCACTTGGTAACCTGTATAGCATCAGCTTCCTGGCAAGTAAAATGGAAAAAAAAAAAAAAAAAAGGAATATTGCTGAGGTTTTGCTTCCCATGAGAAGTTAAAAATAAATAAATGAGTGCATAGTTTTTGATTGTTTTCCTGAGGTTTTGTTTAAATGGTGCAACCAGTGAATTTAATGGAACATATCCCAGTTTCCCAACTAAAACAATAAATTTTAATGGAGAATGATCTAATACAAATCATAGTGAAAATTATTTGTGCCTTTTGAATTTCAAATTTATAACTCAAAGGGTGATTAATTATATATGTATATTAATAAACCACAACGTTCAAAACTGATGATGATATCTACTGATTAGTCAACCTGCATTCCTGGACAAATTAGACAAATACTCTTTCTCATCCTCAGCTCCTCAACATCTTCATCAGCTCTAGAAGCATTTAAAGAGCACAAGATTAATTGTTCTGCTAACCTCCTCTGTAAAAACGTGCACAGAAAAGATATTCTATCCAAAGAAAAGATCACACGCATCAGGAAAAAACTTATTTCCACATTGCCTGCCAACACATATCAACTACTCTGCAAACAAACTGCCTTTAATAAAGAGTTAGCTATTTAAAGAAATTTTACAGTTATCCTGCACAAAGACTTTTGAACTCTCTTCAACAGAATTATGGACAGCAACTTCAAGCAATCTGATAACTCAGCTGATTAGAAATCTGGAATCCTTGTTCTAATTCATACAAAAGCTCTACCGCTATTACCATAAAAGAGCTATGAAGTCATTTGGTCTCTTTACATTTTTTGGAAAATCATTTCCCAATGCATAGGGAATGTGAACTAATGAGCTAGAGGCACTGAGTTTGGATGTCAAGACTCCGTATAATGTCTACAAATATCAGCTTCCTCCTTTCATTGCTCTGGAGTGCCAGGCAGAAACAGAGAAGCATCCTCCTAGAAACACACATTTAAGGTATTATCAGACTGGATCATTTCAAACCTGCAATGTATTCTGTTACAAGTTTCAAAACTTTTCCATCTAGTTCCAGGAAAATTCACTGCAGCACTACATTTTAAATTCATTAAAACATACCAGACTAAGTTTAGCATTTTGTACCAGAAGAGATTCAAGGCAGTATCACAGATTTCCAAACTAACATGACCATAAAAGTGACCAATTTGATACAAGTTAGCATTTGTATTTGACAAGTTAGTTTCCAGAGGACTTCTCTGACAGCTGTACAGTTGACACAACGCAGTGTCTCTTCTTCTCACCACAAGACACTACCAACACAGTAAGCTTGGTCACAGTATAAAGAGGCATGATATCATCAAAGGCACTCAAAAAGCAATACAGTATTTTTAGACAAAACCTGCCTTTGAACCAATCTGGTATTCCACCAATATCAGTGGCAGGGGATGCAGCAATGGGAGAAGGCAATGGGATGGGGTCAGAGACACATCAGAGAAGAGGTACAGAAAAAGGTTCAGAAAGGAGGACAGGGAGATAGAGCCATCTCCCTGCCTCTCAAAAGGCACGCACTAGTAGCGAGCAGCTAAGAGATCACAGCACTATTTCCTAGCATTCAGACTCCCTCGCCACCAGCTCTCAGCAGTTCTCCTGCTCCTGCGTGCTATGGAGTGAAGACACATCCCTTGCCCTTCTTTCTGTTTTCCACTCTACCCTCAGCAATAGGGGCTACAACTCTCCTGACCAAAACCCTGATGTTTTCCACCACATTCAGTGAAGATTTCTCCATCAATTTGAAAACTACTGCTCTCTTGCAATTGTGAAACAATCCTGGGCCTTTGCCCAGAGCAATGGACTTCAGAAAACCCAAAGAATAGGACAGTTAATTGGAGAGGCATCAAGCGATACCAGTAAGTTCAAAACCAAATGCCTATTTGCATCTGTTTCATGAATAGCTACATTGTACATCTTATCACATGATAACGGCAACAAAAAAATTCACTGCAGGAAAAAAAAAGAAAAAGCTCCATCATCAAGAGCTATTAAAACATGAAGATATGCTTTTTGGTTCAGAAAATCCCAGAACTAGTATTCCTATGAGCCACAAAATATCACTCTATAGTTGCCATATATCTCTGCTGATCCCCAGGTACCTGTTGTTCATCACTGTTCAACTCTCCACCACACGAACCTCAGGTCTGACCCATTTGTTCTGAGTATGGCTTACTGGCATAAATCACTGTTTAAAAGAATACAGCTGTAAGGTCATGCGCAAGCAGCTCTCTGGTCTTTCAGTCTCCATCAGCACAGTAAGCATGAATGCATGTTTTACTGTTACTGAACAACAGTACAAACAAGTTGTTGAACCACAGATGTGGAGGAAAAAAAAAAAAAAGGAAGGAACAAAAAAAGGCAACAGACTATACCCAGCTCCTACACTCAACAGAAGAAAATAAAGTTCCGAACACACACATATATATAGTCCCATTTTAACATTTACTTTCAGAGTAACCCAATGCATTTCAGGAATTATGTCCTGAGCTCTTACTGATAAAAAGCAACAAAATTTATCTCAGAAAGCAAAATCATCAAAACTATCCTCAATGCAAGTCTTAAAGAAGCTGTTGTGTTAGTGCTGATTTTGAGCTTGGAGTTTTCTGTTGTTGACACCCAGCCACTGGAAATAGGATTTACATCACCAACTCATTTCTTTTTCAGCAACAAACAGCTATCAGTTGGTAATGATTTTTCTGTCAAAGCTCAGCTGGTCTTGATTTGAACAACTGTAGCAAAACATTTGAAAAGTCTAACTTACAAAGATTACAAGATGTCATTCTTCCTGAGTTTAAGACTAAAATTGGACAAAAAAGGCAATCCAGAGGTAAGGGATGGAAGGAGTCATTTATTTCATGGCAAGCTCAGAGTTCTCATTAAGGACAACATTCCTGTCTTTTAGAAAATTACACCAGCTAGTGCGTTTCTTGAAAAAAATTAGCCAATAAGTAAATGTACATGTATATATTTCTCTCCAGAAAATGTGTATTCGCAAAAATATCTAAAATTAGTAAAGAAAAAAACCCTTCCCTTTCAAGTATATGGTAGTTCATGTATCATTCCAAACTTCCCTTCTATTTTGCATTGTCATATTATCCACCATGGTTTTGAACACTAAGTAAATGGTACAACAGATTATTATAATTATTGTTGTTGTTATTATTATGTATTGAAGAAATAGTTGTATCCAGAGACTTACCACTTAAGGGTGAAGTGGCTTTTATGGAGAAGTTTATAACAGTACGGCGACAGGCAATTACATTAGAAGTATTTTAAATTACTTTGGACATTTCCTTTAGACTTTGACATCACAATGGAAGGTAAGAGGTTACTCAACAAAATTAGTAGATTCATTAGTACAGCATCTGTATGAATGCCGTATTTTAAGTGTAAGCTGTCCTCAAGGAGTGTTCTTTTACATATTTTCATGCTGAAGGTATACAGACAAAAATCAATATATTTCAGAAATGTGGACAAGGTCCATGCCACCTTTATTAAAGGCTCTATGTTGTGCAGACCATTTCCCAAAGCAAATAACCTTTTTGCCTGACCAATTAAATCATAAATAAAGGACAAACAAGTAAGTCTGGGGATTTTTTAGCCTGAAATGTTCATGGCAGCTTTACAAGGCTAATCTGAACATATTAAAAACAACAAATATCTTCCAATGCCATAAAAGAGAAAAGATACAAAGAAGAAAAGAACAAAATACCCACTGTCTATATTTTCCTAACTTACTCTATGGAAGCAGACCTTGGCATGCAGTTTTCCTTGCAAATAACTGAAGTTAACAAATCAATAGGAGA